AAAAAAATATTTTTTTTAAATGCTGAGGAGTTAACTTTATTTGCCGAAAGTCCTTCAGTTGAACGACTGGGTTAAATACTTGAGGCAGTGGCTTCCTTCTTGGCCTGCAAGGAGCTGGCACTCTTATCTTAAGAGGAAGGTAAAAACAAGAGTGCCAGCCAGCCTTCTCGGTGGGGGTCTTCCTTCCCAAGGTGCTGGCAGAGTGCCGGAGGTGGCTTCCACCTGCCCACTTTTCCCGCTGGCTCCATCTTTATTGATGGTACCAATAGGAAGACCAACTCTTCTGCCTTTCTCCATTGCCAGCTGGGATCCAGAGCATGTTAATATAAGGAGGGCAGGCTACATTGAAGGCTGGTAGACTCTTGGCCCATTCAAACAAGCCAGCGCATCTGTCTGTTGAACCTGGGGTGGGGATGTAGGCAGTTAACCTTTAGGGGGTTGGGTAGGGGAGTTATTCCCCTCTCTCACCCTGACCCTGCCTGCTGCCAGGCTCTGGCTCTTCCCTGGACACCCTCCCCTATTTTTACTCTCTTCTTGACATGCCTATCTCGTAGGCCCCAAAGAAAGAACTCCAGAACGGGGTTATCCGAGGCTACCAGATCGGCTATCGGGAGAACAGCCCAGGAAGCAGCGGGCAATACAGCATTGTGGAGATGAAGGCCACAGGGGACAGTGAAGTCTACACCCTTGACAACCTGAAGAAATTTGCCCAGTATGGTGTGGTGGTGCAGGCCTTCAACCGGGCAGGCACCGGCCCATCGTCAAGTGAAATCAATGCTACCACGCTGGAGGATGGTATGTCAATGTCAATGTCAATGGCTTGGTGTTCAGCAGCTGTTGCATTTTATTTCAGCCCAGATAGGCTTTCCTGCAAGATGGTGCCCCTCTACCCAAAGCTGCTACTATCTTTCCAAAGGCTGTTTCTGTTTCTGTTTTCCACACGTAAGCGGATGTATGTGAAGGCAGAGATCACGGTTAGGAGAAGCATGTGCGCTCCCCAGTTGGGTTTTATTGTGCGCCAGGCATTTTGGGGTTTCAGGTGCCTGCAAAAAGGTGGCAATTTCTCTATGGGAGGTAAAATAAATGGTAGTCACCATTCTGTGGTGGTCACCATTAGGACAAGCGTGTGAGTGGGAGAGAGCGAGAGCCTTCGCATCCCTTTTCAAGATTGGCACAGAATGAGATTCCTGGCCTGGAATGCCTCCTCTCTCCCCCCCCGGTGTTAGTGTGACATCTGGGGGTGAAAGGGCCTCCTGCACACAAGCTGCCCATCTGATTTTGCTGATTATGGGTGCCCTGTGCTCCTCTTGACCCCAGGGGCATCCTGGGCCTTCCTCGAATGGCGCTCTGATGAGTGCCTGAAGTCTGCCATCCTTCAGCATCCCCAGTCTGGACTGGCGAAGGTAGAGACATTGAGTCTCTCCAGGGCTCCCTTGTGCAGCTGCCCCCCACCCACCCCCGCCTCCAGAGCTCTCCACTCACAGCTCCTTGTGCCGGGTGCAGCAGCTGGCCTTGCCAAGGAGCAGCCCTGCTCTGCCTGCAGCGGCCCGGTTTCCTCTGGGGATTTTCCACAGGTTTCCATGGGGGAGAGCTCAGCTCTCGGAAAACAAAACCAAAGTTTCTTCCTCGTTGGTTCAGCAGTTTTTCATACTTAATTAAGGTCCTCATTAGCCTGTCAAAGCAGGATCATTTCCTGCCTAGATTAGCACTCCTCCTGGGGTATTCAAGGGCCCCTGTTTTAGCAATAGTGTTATTTCCCATAATTATATTACCTTCATTTTCTTCAAATGGACTCTATTCGTT